ACTTATCCATGGGTCATATCAAAATCCATAATTCTGGGCCCCAAATCTGCCCTCGATTTATACAAATCTGCCGGTCAGTTTATAGTTGAATATATATGGTAGATATAGATGATAGATAGATAGATAGATAGATACCAAATAAGTTGGCAGTTTATTCTTACTTCAACAATAACAGGTGTACTGTAACCCTACAACTCAGGGCAGCAGACTAGTTTCGGGGAGCATACACATTTCGGATTGTGGTATACACATCTCTGATTTTGAAGCAAGAGGAACAACTGGAAGGAGTGCTCTGAAAGAGTTGCTACTGTTGCTCCCTGTACCTGTTGGATCTGGCGCAGGGACTGGGGTAAAACATTTAGAGGCAAAATAGCACAGAATGAAAGCTTTACTCACCATCTGTGCTGAATTTGAAATCTTCCCCCACCCCATAATTATATGGATTTGATTTCTGACCAGATTGAATATATGTTGCTTGCTGCTTGTCACATCTACTTTGGCCCTTTCCTACATTGTTCTTCTGCATGAATAACTCTGTCCCAAGGCATTAGGAAAACAAGTGTACGTTCAGGTATTGTGACACAGTTTTCCACTTGAGGAGTTACAAGGTGACCTTGTTCTGCAACAGTTGGTTTTGTGCCAGAGGGAATCAACAGTTTGACAAATGCTGCCTCTCCTTCCTTGTCCCCCTTTTTAACATACTGTGCTTTCTAGAGGCACAAAACATAGCAAATGATCATTCATTTCATTTCTTTTTTGTTGATTCTCCAGATAGAAGAGCTGTTAATATTTTTATGTTATTTTTTAAAAACCACACAAATAGCCGCCGGGCTACTACAGTAGATGGCATTTCCAGAACATACTTTCATACTTCCCTTGAGAGGATTGCTTTCATGACCCAGCTGGATTTTAAGTCTGGATTTATACATTAGGATTTAGAAGTACCTAATGAATCAGTCACCCTATAACCAATGTTCACTTTAAACTCTACTTGTGATAAAGCACATAAAATTAAAATGAGAGGATAATTCTGAAATGCTTTTGATATACCATGATGAAAGATCAGTAGAGGAACAAAACATTCCAAAGTAGCTTTGGAAAATTTGCATAAGATGCAAACCATTGTGACTATTCACAGAGGCATCACATTTCCCCAATTTATTTGATGGCAAGCAAGCCAGTATAGTGGCAAAACTTCACATGGAAGCATAGCCAGTCCAATGTAGTATGAGAAAATTCTTAAGCTTTGGTTTCTGATTCAGTTTTTAAGTGTGCGTGTGTTTTGAGAGCCAGCATAGTGTAGTGGTTTGAGTGCTAGACTAGGACTCTAGAGACCAGGATTCAGATCCCCTGCTCAGCCATGGAAACCCACTGGGTAACCTTGGGCAAGTCATACTTACTAAGCTCTAGAGCAGGGGTAGGCAACCTTTCCCCTTTAAGGGCCGGGGGACTTCAGCTCCCAGAATCCCAGGAGCTATTGGCCAACATGGGACTATTGGCCAACATGGCTGAGGCTTCTGGGAGCTGAAGTCCCTTGGCCCTTAAAGGGGAAAGGTTGCCTACCCCTGCTGTAGAGGAAGGTAAAAGCAAACCATCTCTGAACAAATCTTTCCAAGAAAACCCTGTGACAGGTCCCTTTAGAATCTCCATAAGTAGAAAATGACTTGAAGGCACACAGCAGCAATTTTTAGAAGATGATTTCAGCACACATTAGAAAAAATATTAATGGTCATCCTTCAGGGCCAGAGAAGGCTCCTATGCCAAGTTGTATTGAGATGTACAAGATTTCTCTCCTTGGAATTCTTGTTTCCTCTCTGGAGTCTCCTTCAAAGCAGGGCAGCATTAGGAGCACAGAAAGTCATCTCCTGTTCCCTATTTTAGGCAAATGTTTTCCCTTTGATTTCCCTGTATGTGAAGGCTGTGACCAGCAACCTCACTGAACCACCACCATGATCTGACTTGGGTACCTGTCTTCACAGTGTCTGTGAGGATATATACAGCCTCATTTCCAATTGAGTTCAAATCACTTTCTGGGTACACAACTAACCTGTAATCCTGTGTACCAGAAGTGATTGCTATGGTCCTCCAGATCTTTGATTATTATTATTTTTTGCCATACAATGCCTAGTATCCATTGTTCTTATTTGTTTGTTTGATTGATTTCCCACATGTCTCCTGATATAAGGACTCAAGTTGGCTAACAACAAATGAAAGGTTAAAGTAATTGCAGTTTTAAAAATCTGAAAAACCAAAGTCACTAAGCACCCAAACGTGGGAATAAGCCCTACTGAAAACAGTGGAATGCATTTCTGTGTTGACATATATAAGATTACGAGGTGTTGTGTTTTATCTCACTAAATTTAAAATTTTGAAAATGACAATAGGAAACTAGATTTGCATAACACATGGGGGGGGGACTTTGTTCTGTCTTCATGTCTACAAGGTGATTTCCAGA